AATTTGGCCAATGTTCCGTAGTATTGGGACAGCCGCATGTAAGGTAGGTAGATACGTCGTATCACCAACAAACCAACCATTCAAACAATTGCCGATTACATCTTCCGTGGTCAGAATCTTATTCATATCAATGCCGTCATCTTAGCAGTCAGTGATTCTATGTCTCCGTGTCGTATTGTATCTGCTGCTCGGTAGGCCTCCAGCTGTAACAAGATACCTGATGTCTAAACATTCTCCAACGTTGTTGATCGATCCTCGATCTCAGTTCAGTATCGGAAGTCAAAGTACCCGGGGAAATTTGTTACAGATACATTACTTGACATATTTTCCATGCTCCATCGTGTTTCGTCGTTCGGAAAGCTCTGCGAAACCCCATATCTTAGCATGGTCCCCTTAAGCGAATTGCTTGTCAACCAGTTTGTCCACGAATGAGCTACCGCCAAAATTAAAATCCTACACGTCTGGGCAAAACTCGGTCCTCTACAAGGCAGACCTTATTACGGTTCGGTTGCTAATTGGCATCTGATACGAGCTTCCCGTCGAGTGTCAGCCCAATTCCATCCAATGATTGACTGGGCAGTGACAGGACAAGCAAGACTTGGCTTTTCTTGGCTTTTCGCTATGTGTAACATGATAATGGTCAGCGACCAACAGTTTCGCCGAAGAAGCAATTGGGTTCTTTCCTCTGTGATAAAATTTTTCCACCGTTCGGATGTCAAAAGTAATATTCCATGTCATTGTTGTTGTCAAGTCGACATTGGTTGCCAATGTAGAGAACGGAATAGCATCATGATTCCCCTCTATCGCGATGGCATCATCCTACTCAATCCAGCCACAATCATTCACTAACTGGGCCAGAGACCGATCATATTACCTTCGGTATTAACGACCCGATCGAAACACTAATACCACCTTGAACAATTCCTATCTATCTTGGGACTTGGCCTGCTGTCAGATCTTGTTCAGTTCTTGTGATTTTCTTATCTCGTGACAAGAACGACGCACACTTACATGACAATCTTACCACCAATCGCATTGGCTCTTTTCAAGGTCTCTTGGCACTTCATAACACGAGCAGATAGTTGGCAGAAGAGGCGGTGCAACTAACTGGCCGGTCAAGGTCATGGTTGATAACATGACATGCTTCGTTTTGTTCAAAAACGGCTCCGTGTATCCTCTTTCCCTGTTTGAATAGGCGCAAACTCTTGACACAATCGTCCGGGGTTTTATGAGGTTCTGGATAAGTCTCATCCAGAGAACTCGGTGCACATGGTAGAAGTTCTTGGCTCAGAGTATAATGCGGACTGGCACCACAACAAACTACATACGTATCTGACCAAGAGCTTCATTATAAAAGGTCAACTAGAGTGTTTTGCTAGTTTCGATTTTTTGATAATACCCACGTGCGTTCTCACGTTGTGCAGTTTCGTTTTCTTGGATATGTAAATACTGTGTCGCTTTCAGTGTTTTCCTATACTACAAGTTTCTCTCTTCCCTTTCACGAGCTACCAAGCCCATTCCATTTATACTTTACGCTTTATGTCACTGACATATCGAACTCTCTATTTTTTTTTTCATGACATTTAATTCGATGGTACTTCATCAAAGGCTGTTGTTACCTGACGATACCTTGGCGATAAGTCAATAATGCGAAGTCCAAAAACACATGACTTAGCGCTTAAGTCGTGCCAGAAACTCACGATGCCACGCGCCAAGTCAATTAGATGCGGGGTCTTCCTTCAATCTGAGACAGGTGCTCGAAGGTTAGGGCTGTATAGAGTATACGGCAACTCAATTAATTTTTCTCATTAACGCATTTTTTGGATTCCGTTTTAGTATCTCGCTCGTACTATATCTAATTTCGAATTGCTTCATTTCATAAGTTGACTAAGATACATTGTTCTATCACAGCGCCAATGAGAGGAGGTTGGAGATTTGGAACTTTCAAGGACTTATCGTCACAACAATACTCATGGAATTTAATCACAATACGGTAACGTATACTTTGATTATTTTTCTCAGCAGAACATACGTTAGTTAGTCTATACTTTTTCAAAAGGCTAGAGACGTTGACAAGATACAGCTTGCCAAACGGCTGGCTACAGGGTAGCTTTAGCTGACCTAACGGGTACTACTCAACGTATAGTAACCACTAATATGCGTAACGTTAGTGGTCTCTCCCCTCCTCCATAAGGTACCCCAAGCTTGGAGCTTGGGGCTTTTGCTCGCTGAAACGAACTGCCTGACGCCACTAATAACCAATCAGACGCGTCAGCATAACCCCGTCCCTCAGCACCTCAGCTTGGCGCGTCATACCTTGGCTTGATATCACCAGGTCGTCGTTGCTGGGTCGCCCATCTTGTCTTTTGACTGTCGCAAACTCTCCACCTGAGATCGCATCATTTTTCTTCGACAACCATCAATTTCATCCCATATTCATCAATCTCGTAACCTCCCATCAACTCTGTTCACCTATTCGCCCGCTCACTCACTCACTCACCCATTCAATTGACTTTAACCAAGCCGCAATGTCCGACGTTACAGAGCAGACTGCGCCTGTCGTGGATGAGGCCGCTGCTACATCCAACGAGTCGCTCGCATCCCCTGCTGACGATGTCGCAAACGTTACTGAAAAAGTAGAGTCTGCTACTATCACACCTGCTATCGGAACTCCTAGCGTCGGCACCCCCAACACCGACTTCCTCATTGCGAACGACCAAGACCCCAACAGCAAGAAGGTTACTCTTGCTGACCTGTCCGCAAAAGGCGCTGCTTTGTACGCCCACAGGAACTACGAGGAGGCCGCCGAAGTATTCTCCAGAGCCAGCATCCTCCAAGCCGAGCTCAATGGTGAGACATCACCCGACAATGCCGAGATCCTCTTCCACTACGGCCGCAGCTTGTTCAAGGTCGGTCAAAGTAAAAGCGATGTTCTCGGAGGCACTGCCGCCCCCGAGAAGAAGAAGAAGAAGAAGAAGAAGAGTGCCGAGACCAAGCACAAGAAGCCTGCCGAAGCCGAAGCCGAAGCCGAGAAGGCGACACAAGAAGGCGTTGACATTGTCGCCGAGCAAAAAGAAGGACAGAAGAATTCAGAAGACATCAAGGGAGATAAGAAGGCCCTGTTCCAGTTCACTGGCGACGAGAACTTTGATGAGTCCGACGAGGAAGAGGTACGTGCCAATCATCGAACACTGATCTTCCTTGGTTATGCTAACTGTTTCCCCCAAGGATGCTGAGGGTGAGGAGGACGAAGAAGAAGACGACGACTTGGCTACTGCTTTCGAGATTCTCGACCTTGCTCGAGTATGCTACCTCAAACGACTTGAAGCGCTCGAGAAAGAGGAGCAGGATGAGAGTGGCAAAGGCAAGGAGGTCGCAGATGGCGATTCGCCCGTTATGCGACATGTGAAGGAGCGCCTCGCTGACACCCATGATGCCCTCTCTGAGATCTCCCTTGAGAATGAACGGTATGCGCAACCTCTTGTACGAAACTGGCCTGGCTCTTACCCTAACACCACAATAGCTACCCCAATGCCATTGAAGACGGCCGAACATCACTCAAGTACAAGCTTGAACTATACCCCGAAGAGTCTGAGATTATCGCCGAAGCCCACTACAAGCTTTCCTTGGCTCTGGAGTTTGCTTCAGTAACCACACCTGGCGATGATGGTACGAACGCTAAACGCGAGGAAATGGACCAAGGCCTGCGCGACGAAGCTGTCAAGGAGATGGAACTGGCCATCAAGAGTTCCAAGCTCAAGCTCCAAAATAAGGAGGTGGAGCTTGCTACCATGGCATCTCCTGAGGACAACGAATTGGCGCGAAAGTCTATTCAGGAAATGAAGGAAGTTATTAGCGACATGGAGCAACGTGTGAGTACAACTCGGCCCCCCTTGGATCTATAAAAGTCCATCTGCTAACACTGAGCAGCTTGTCGACCTGCGCAACGACCCTGTCGATACCAAGGACATTCTTGGCGCCGATGCATCCATCGGTGGTATTCTCGGTGCTGCCATTGGCGAGTCCGCTGCTGAGACCAAGGCCCGAGTCGAGGAGGCTAAAAAGACCGCTACTGACCTCAGCGGATTGGTCCGCAAGAAGAACAAGGAGGAAACTACTACAGAAGCTGCCCCCGAGCCCGCACCCGAAGCTGATGCTAACGGTAAGCGAAAGGCCGAGGAGCCGGCTGAAGATGCTGAGGCGAAGAAGACCAAGGTGGAAGCCTAGATACAACAACGAACAGCACTACTAAGCTGTCGATTGAGAGGAAAAAATCATGAGCGGAGTTAGGGTTAACAGCATTCCCCTTGGTGAATGAGGGACAGGAAGAACATGCATGTACGATTAGTTAAAAAGGATGTATCGGTAATAATGGGTTATATGTTTTGTGAAACGAGGGACAGGTCCTCGTAACTTGACATTGGATTCTTTATGCTTTACAGTGCACTCGAGCCTTTTATACATTTACATATAAACACAGGCATAAAAAAGTCAAGCGTCAACTGCAATGGCTCGAGGTTCATATGTCCCTGTTTTGTAACTAACTGCCGCATTCGATATCAAGAAAGGCTTAGAGCAACGTAACCTGATTCTCACAGAGAACATTGTGCTGTTTAGAACAAGAAGACTTCCAGAACGAATTGCTTTTTTATTTTTTTTATTTTTTTTATTTTTATTTTTATAAATTTTTTTATTTAATTTTTTTTGCATATATAAGCAGAAAACGTCGTCAAGATTAAACACAATATTGACTGTTTGTTGGGAAGAGACCTCTCATACTATCTATCGTCACAAGATTGAGATTTGGAAAAAAGAAACATCTCTCAGTTACCACGAAGGAAAATAGTAAAGATGGATATATATCGACATGCGTCAAACATGAAAGTGCGTTTCTATTATGAATCGCTCGCAAGCCATGCAAACACCCCTTCGTTACTTTTGACACCCTACCCCTTACCCAAACAGAAAAAAGAAACAACTTCTCTCCTTCACAGTTACTACTACAGCTTGTAGTTTCCACCTGAAGCAATCTTGACGTTCTTCGCCTTGTTGCCATCCACATCGGTAATCTCTCCCTTGCGGTTGATAACCTTGACACCGCCCTTCTTGAGGTCGGCAACGGCGTCGCGTTGCATCTTGGCCCGCTTGCTGACAGCCTTGCCGCCGTCGACACCACCCGCCTTGCGCACACGCTCCTTCTCGCGACGGCGACGGCGAGCCTTGTCTTCGCGTGACATCTCTTGGCGCGCAACAGGTAGACCGGCCTTGGTGACGACTTCACCGTTGGCAGCCTTCTCGGTGGAACCAGCCTTGTAGACTTCCTGGGGAGCCATACGGCTACTCTCGCCAGTGACACCCTGTGCCGTTGTGGGCTGAGCGTCCTCCATGGCGATGGTCGCGACATCGGTGACGACTGATAGTGAGGGAGCTGTGGGCTTGGGCTTGTAGTGCCATGAGCTGAGCGAATCAAGACGAGCGCAGACATCCTTCCACATTGCCTCAACCTCCTTCTCTTCTCTCTGTAGCTTCTCGTCCGACTGACTGACGTAGCTATCGGGGTCTTGGTTCTTGACGTGCTCTTCCTCGTAAATTTCTGCCAGACCCTTTGTAGCCTTGCTATCGTCAAGCTCAATAAGACCACGGCGTGTGCCCGCAGCTGCGCCCTCAGTATCGGGTCGTCGACGGATAACCTCATCAAACTCTTGTGCTAGAATACGGCGCTTAATGAGGTCCTCGATACTCTCGCTAACTTCGGGGGTAATGACAGGGACAGGCTTGCCAACGTGCTCAAAGTCAAGATCCTCCTCGAGCAACGAGTTCACAGGACGATCAACAGCAGCGGCTTCACCAGATAGTGCCCACTCTCGCTTGGCAACAGATGCAGCCTCAAGCTTGCGAATTTCCTCAGCAAGCTTAGCTTGTCTGCGCTCGTGAGCTGAGCGTCGTGACTTGGGGTCTCCGGCGGAGACATCAGATAGCGCATCTTCAGAGTCCTCCTGTTCTGACTCGTCATCGAAGAGATCCCTTTTAACATCGGCCATGGCCCTCTCAACGTCGGCGTCGTCGGGCTTTTCATTTTGGAACTTGGCAGACTTTTTAGGCTTGCCACCCTGATACTTCCTGCGTGGTGGTGCAAAGAAGTCCTTGTAGTAGACCTCGTTGGCGTTCATATCGTTTTCCTCATCGTCCAAATCATCCACGTCCATACCCTCGTCCTCGCTGTCGCCTTCTGGAGCATTGAGATCCATATTGCCAAACGTGGGACCACCCTCGTCGTCACTGTCCTCTTCATCTTCGGCTGGCTGTGCCTTCTGAGACTTTGAGTTAGGCTTGTCGGCAGATAGAGGATCGGCATCCCAGTTGATTTCATCATCGTCGCTTGCTTGATCTGTGTAAGGGTCTCCCTTGGCGTCCTGCTCCTCGAAGTATTGTGATTGTCGGTTGAAGTCGTCGAGAGAGAAGAAGCCATCGTTGAGACCATCAGGATCCGCCTCATACTCCTCCGCTTCCTCATCGTCCTCTTGGTAGTCATCTTTTCCTTCCTCGAACTCCTCTTCTTCTTCATCTTCCCAATCGTTTTCTTGACCGTCCTCGAGCGCTTCGTCTCCTGATATTTGCTCTTCGTCCTCTTCTCCAGACACTTCTTCGTCGCTCTCATCCTCGTCATCAGAGTCCACCTCGAAGCCGTCCTCTCCAAATTCAATTGTCTTGGAGTCAGCGCCGTTAACAGCAATCTCTTTACGCTCCTCCAGCTCAGCAAGGGCCTCCTCAGAGTACTTTAGGACTCCTCCGATAATTCTCTTAGCCTGTTGCCAAACTTGGCCCGTTTCGAAGCCATCGACGTAAACCTTGCGCATCTTGAGAACATCTTCGCTTCCGACAGCGCCTCTCTTGCGCTTGCGGTTCTCTTTTAGCCTTTCCTGCTGTTCATCGCCGACTTGCGAAGCAAATCCTTCGAGGGTTTGTTTGACGAGGTTAAGAGAATCGGTCGGAATAGAAGCACTAGGCTGGAGGAATTTGTGTCGCTTGCCATCGGCCAGAGTTTCTAGAAGCGCCAGAACATGGCTGTTTGTGAGGGAATCAGGAGCGGCCATGGTGAGCGGCGCGGCAGTCAAGGTATGTGAGGTAGAAGTGAGCGATGGCGACGTCTGAGCAGCCATGCTCTGGTGTAAGCGGGTTGAGCAGAGCGGATTTGCACTGCTTCAATGTTATAAAAGCCTATGTCAAAAGGAAGGCGTCGTGCGATTTTGCTGTGATGACTTCGGTTGAGTTGAAGCTGAAGACGAGACAAGATAATTGATAGCAGGAAAAAATTTGGGAGAGTCGACCAGGCCCCGCGACGAGTAAAGTTTGGGCATTATGATTGGCCAATCATCCTTTGCCAAGATAATTGATAAGAGATAAGAGACGAATTCTTTATACTTGAGCCACTCCTTCCTCGTTTAAGAGACATGGAACAAGAAATAACAAGGGCTATTATCATCAAATTGCTATAAAACTATAGATTTAAATTGTAAGTATATTTTGTTTTTATTGACCATTTGATAACGTAAATGGGGGTTGAGCACTTGAGTACTCTTGAGCTTCTGCTTTGGAAGTAGGTGCTATCTGGTAGTATTTGCTTATAATGCCTCCATTGCGATTTCTAAACTCTGCATTCTACTTTATGCTTAAACTTGTATGTGTATTCATAACATCTCGAAGCCTTTGGCTTATAAACCCTGTAGGAAAGCTAGATCCATAAGAGCCCAGAACTAGTAGACCCAGCTTGACAACACGACTATTGCTTGAATAGCAGCCCGTTATGCCATTTCAAGGCTATTTAATTACACTATTGGTAGCCCAGCCGAGACTTTTCCAATCTCCCCTGAAGCTAGACATTTAAACTAACATCAATTTGTTCTATATGTCGACCCGAGAAAACTTATTTACCAGTACCTTATTGGTTTAGGAATGACGCAAAAATCAGCAGCAATATCTGTGCACTGCTTTATTTGTAGAAGCGAACCCCAAAGCTCGAGTAAAAAGGGACTCAGTTCCCACGTAGAAATGATGCTGTCTGCATATCCCGTAAATTTACGTTAGTATGGTGTCCTCGAAACTGTTTACTGTTGTGGTAACTGCGTCGAGCCTGTGGGCTGTTGATGCCGGGAAGTGCAGACCACACACATCGTTTTTGACCTTAACATCAGGGGTTTCAACTACCACGTCGTCTTCATCCCGCTACTTTACATCACCTGATGATGGAACAAATGTCTCATCTTCAACTGATTATTCGACTTCTACAGATTCTGTCAAGAGTATATCCTCTGGTATGAGTGATTCTTCAGCGACGACCTTGGACCGGACAACAACCTCAGGCTCAAGTCTTTCAGAGTCTATAGCTACAACCCACTCGACAGTCTCTTCTAATACTGATGTGATTGAAGTGTCGAGCGTCTCGAGCAGTTTTGCTACTGAAATTTTGGTCGAGGCCACAACATTTAGCGATCCAACTACGACAATTGACACTATCATGATCCCTACTGACGCATCTACATCGATTGACACTTCCTTATCGACCGGCATTACTGTGTTGACTGGTACTACTGATATCACTGCGTCAACTGGTAGTGATGCTCCCTACGAAACTATAGCCTCTACTAAACTTACCACGTCTATTGAACAAACGACAACCACTGATGCAGTTATATCTGCCCAATTAACTTCTGCTGAGATTGCCGATACCACTGAAACACCTGCGATAACCGAAATTACCACGACGGATGTTACCACTGCAGAGTTTATCACAGTTTCTGCACTCGAGAGTGCAAGCATAACGGAAAGCCTCTGGACTTCTACCACTGCAGTCTCATGCCCCGTCTATTCAAACGTCGTTGATGACTCCAGCTTTGAGGGAGAAAACAACGCTCCTAATAGATGGGAATCAATGGGGCAATTCGCAGGCACGGCCGTGACCTACCAGAAGCAAAGAAGCACCTCTCAAGAAGTGCCGCGGGCTCATAGTGGTGACCAGTTTGCGTAAGTTGAGCAGCTATCCACCCCGGCCCCAACGCCTAGCTAACTTCTCGCAAGGCTCCTCGGTACGGGCGTTGGAACTGACATGCGGAGAGTCGTTTCTCTGGATAACAAAAAGTATCAAATCTGGATTACGTATGCTGCCATCTCTGATCCTGACCAAGATTGGTCTTTCAATTTTGTTGTCGCCACAAGTTCCGGCCACGCGACGAGGCAAACGATCAATGTCCCGAGAGGCTCCCCTTTTGCGTATAAGCAGGAAAGCACAATATTTCAAGGCCGGAAAGACGACTTCATCAGTGTTTTGGCGAGACCCTTGGCGGATTCAAAACCTCGCTTCGTTGCTATTGACGACATTTACGTGGCTGAGTATGTGCCCTCTTGTGTTACACCTACAGTTAAAACCGAACTGTGTGGCGGCATACAAGGTAATCCCAGTAATGCTGGACAGCCGTATCGAACAGTCAATCTCAACCAAAGAAATGAAGAAATATGCGCACAGCTGTGTGCCAAGGATGAGAGCTGTGTGACATTCGGCTGGTTGGTGGAACAGTATTTCAAAGCCTGTAATCTTTTCAAAGACACCAAAGACAAACTAGGAATTTCTGTTAGAGAGGGACGCGGAACGGTATTCTACGACCGATCTTGTTGGCAATGCACCGGTCTTGATTGCTCGCCGTCCTGATATCGCTAGAACGCAAAGGCAGCTACAAACAGAGACTTCAAGGTCGAAATAGCAGGTTCGGTGTGGAAGTGGTATTAAAGATAGGTGCCCCAGCCTGACGACGTCCAGACCAAACTTGCTATCAATACCGGCCTTTATTTAGAACACAATTTACCAGAAACCTGCTTACACAGACGAATTGTGTGTTGGTTATTGGAAGACGTACACAGAGCCCAGACTAAACTCAACGATGAAATGGATCCTTAAACAGTATTAATTTTGGCGGTCAACTGGGGCCAAGATCCAAGCCGCAGGAAACTGAAATCATAAACTTGCATTATCGTGTCAAAGCAAAGACCAGCCTGCCTAGCCCACCGTACCCCCTACTTGTCATATACGTCGTCACCATAAGAGTCGTCCTATCCGAGATTCCCATGGCTTCAACGCCGTCTAGACTCTCACACCATCCCCAACCGAAATCCTAGCCCCAAAGAGCATTTATGTACCGGGGCATAGCTATATCAGGCGATAGTCCAAGCAAACAGCAGTATGGCCAAACCCGATACAAAGGATATTGATAAACAGGATACGAAAAAGAAAAACGCCCCAAAAAAGTCACTAATGCGTGCCTTCATCGCCAGGAAAAAAAAAGCAGGCCGAAATGCGATACCCGGAAACGCCTCATGTCGCGGATCTCACCCGCTCTCACTGACCAGAAGCCTACCCGGGCCCCACGCTTTCGTTATGAACAAACCAATGTGCTGAAAGAGAAAACATAATGCAAGAGCGTCCATAAAACAGAGAGTTGAAAGAAAAGTGGTGTGTTGCTTAGCCTCTTTCGTCTCGATTTGCTGCGATCGAGTAACCGATTTGAGGTGACAGTGTTGAATGTCGAAAAAGCGTAACGAAAGTAATTTCGAAGGAACGTGGTGAAAGCTGGGTTTGACAAGACCGCAACTAGTGGATAGCAGAAGACGCCCGAAGTCTTAGGGTATGAAAATAAAGAACCTCCAGTCTTGGCTAAGTCGCATAAGCTGACCTAATGATTTCGTCCCTTATGCCTCCAGTGACGCTTCAGATCTCCATACGGCCTGCGATGTCCTCACTCATGAACCTGTCGGGACTTCTGTCGAGCATATCGATATCATCTTCGAATTCGTCTTCGAATTCATCGTCCGAGTAGGCGACCAGGTCACCGTTTTCTCCGCGATTCCAGAAGAGGCCGTCGTCGTTAAGATTTTCGTCGCCTTCATTATAAGGCACCAATTCCGCATTCTCGCCAAGCCAGTAGTTGGCTCGTTTTTGTGCGCCAGCTGACTCGAGTTGCTGATTGCTGTGGTTTCTTGCAAGATTGGCGGGACGCAGGGTTGGGCTGTGTGATGAGATGACTGGTACAACACGAACATACAGGTAGGCGACTCGCTTCAATGCGCGGTTGAAAAAGAAGTAGTGCGAGGCCCAGATCGCACTCTCGTCTTCCTCGAAAGGGTCACTATCGGGGTTGTAGCTGAAAATGGTACATTCGTTAAGGTGCATTTCCTTATCGATCAACGACCAACATTGGGGTCCCCAGATTGATGAAGTCGCCTCGCTGCCTAGCGAAGACCCCAAAGACTTAGGCTCGAAATTAGGCCTTACGTTTTGTAGGATGGAATCGAGGTTGATCATAACGCGACGCAAATTCCGCTCACGTTTGAAGTCGTTGGGTCGAAGCACATGAGAAAAGTCGTAGTGTGGGTGACTTGCATTGAGTGTCGCAATAAGGTACGCAAACGTCTTGCGGCTTGAAAGCTCGGAAAGAGGACCAAAAGCGCTCGAATGCGAGAACATTTGCATGCTTGGTGATGTGGCTAGCATGTGAGCGCGTTCAGGTGGTGAGAGGCTAGCGCCAAGCTTCAGGAGAGCCTCGTGTTGCGAATTTAGGTCATTGTCGATGTTTTTGTACAGTTTCTTATCGGTGCCTGATGCTTTCGTTGTGTAAAGATCGCACCCGCCCGTAACGTTGCAGTCGGGAGTGTTGAAGTTGAGCGTGCTTGTCACCGCTTCGAAGTCTTGTACTGGTAAATACTTCATATTGAGGCCGAAAAAGGAACAGGTCTCTTAGGGTATAAAAATAAATAGCCTAAGGAGTCTGGTTTAAAGAACATAAGCTGATCGCCTAATTTCGTCTCTTATGCTTGAAGTCAAGGGAACAGATTGCGTCAGCGTGGAGTTTTGGTGGGCCGCAGTCGGAAGGTGATAGTCGTCGCGACAAGGAGAGCAATGCGACGCGACAGTCGAGTAGTTAGGCGTCCAAACGGTAGGGATGTATTGGAGTTGGTCGCGATAGGTCTTGGAATCTGATGATGAAGGGGAAAGGTTGAGGATGGGCGATAGGGTTTGGACGGATGGAAGTCGGTGATTGAAGCCGAAGCCTGCCGTTTTGGAGAGGGGCGCGATCAGTAACTTAGAACACGGCCTTGATGCAATGCAGTCGGCAGAACCCTGAGCCCTAAGATAAAAAAAGATTTTGGATGCTGATGATGATGACGACAAGTACCTAGTCTAGTAGGTATGTACGCAGGGACTGTTGATCAAGATTGGGCGGGAGATTGCCGAGTGTATGTACCTGGTCGGTGTAGGGAACTGTTGATGAAAAGGGGAAGTAATGGTTGTTGAGATAAGCAAGTGACAGGTCGAAGAAGAAGATTTCACTTGGCTAAAATCGTAAGCAAAACCAAGGCCAACAAAGAAACATAAGAGCAAGAAAAGGAAATGATGACTGATAAGGTGAGGGGCCAAAATCGAATGAATTGATTGATTGACTGATTGAGAGGATGGATGGGAGTGACCGGCTTCGGGATACGGTGGAATGGGATGGGACGGGGTGGAGGGGATGATGGTCAGCGGATGATAATGGGCTGCAACTTTGTCTTGCATTTGCGTTTGCGTGGCATCGGTAGTATGTAATAGCGCAGCGCTGCGTTGTGTTGTGTTGTGTTGCGCTGTTCTGTGTCACATCTTGTCCAACAACGACGTGGAAACCCACTCAAACCTGATGTGATTAATGTTGCGGCGGACCACGGGATCCTGATACTAAGCTCATGATGCGAGTTGAGCTGAGCTTAACCCGGTCTCGGTCTCAGCCATTGTTGGGAATTCCGGGGATCCAGATTGCGCCAGCTGGTTTCGGCACTGCCAGGGTCAGGGTCAATCTAGGCTAGAGCCTTAGTAGCCAAGGCAAATCAAGGGGTCCTCCCCTGTCATGACAGCTCATGCTTCATCCTTTGGCTCTCATGAGACAAACTTAAAATCCCTAATTGATGGGCGATTTCTTTGCTGTCAACTTACAATCCAATCGATCCGCCCATGTTCTCCATGGCAATCTCGTGGTTCTGATGAAGATCTGAATGCGTAGGTTTGTGGCACTGCAATGAGGGGGCCCCACGAGTGACCAGTGTTGGCGAATAGGACTCTGTCCCGTAACCACGCGCTTCATCGCATGGTGCATCGTCTTTCGAACAATGAAACGGATCCATTACTCAAGCCATGATCTAATGTCAGTTCAACGATGGAGATAGAAATGCAAATGGAAAACAGGAAAAAATAATGTCAATCGCTTTCTCTTGATTTTGGTTCTGGGTGGAGGTGTTTGCGACGGAGCAATGCGGCTGAAAACGGGTTCGTTGAGCACATGGAGGAAGCAAACGTGTCAGGATCGAGCATTCTCAATGGCATATAGCATCTGACGATGGCCATCGTAGCAGTTCTTCTGCTTTACGCTCAAGACTCGGTATCCTTCCAGTGTTCCGTCAATGCTCGACGCAAATGGCCTGAGCGCATCTGCACCGATTGCCGCAAGCTGCCGTAACCACCACCACCCAGAGGCCTCATCTCTTGATATGAAAGAAGGTGGTTTTCCACCGTCAAAGATCTACAAAACAAGGCCTTGTTGGCCTGAGACTCCCAAACACCACCTGCGCCGGTTCCCACGATGCAAACATGCGTGTCCTCTCTTCCCATCGAAGAGATGCTCAGTCGCCTGAGTCTTTCACATTACAAAACTCCCGTCTCCTTGAGCGACCCAATTATTTGTTCGTCGACCTGTTGATCCAAAGTCAACCCTTAGCCAGTGATAATGCTGTAGCTCGTATGAAAGCGTTTGTTATGAAATTGGACGGGTCGATCTGATGTTTCGTGAGGCGAGGTCGAACTAGTGCCGGACAGCAATTACAAGATCGTCGAGGAATTTTACATAATCTTTGTAACTTCGTCCTCGACCTTGTGGAAAAGGTTGGCGTCAGCTGGCTTGCGACGATGTTGGGTAATTTGGGTGTAGGTTGCCGGGCTATTACAAAACTTCACAGTTTATCAAGCTGGACGTCACTCACCTCCATATCTTCAAGAGAGTCTTGCTGACCGATGCAGCGAAGAATGTTCTTTTTGCTCGTCTCTTGCAGCTCGCCCGCGAGAAGGATTTCGTCGAGAATATAGTATGCTTTGGTGAAGGAGAAGATAATATCAAGCTCGCACACATTGCCATAGTATTTATCCATCTGTTCGACGTATCGGTGAATAATCTCGAGGGTGATCAGCTCGTTGTCATCGGAGGAGCAGCCGGCGATGAAGAAAAGCGATGCATATCGGCGGTAGACGATCTTGGTATCTGTTCAGAGGTTAACATGAGCCAGTCCAAACAAATAACAAAAGGGGCGGAGGGAAGTTGACCCTTGTATTCGAGGAAGTTGCACATGCGCGTTCTACGAGCGAGCACAAGCTGGGAAACATCCTTGACGATCTTGGCCTTATCCTTGGGTGAGAGGGTTGAGAACCATTTGGCAAGGCGCTGTTGTGACTAGTCAGTGATGATGTTAAGCGGTGCATGTGAGCAACTGTACGCACCACTTTGCCTTGGCGAGATAGGAGAATAAGGTAGCTGTCAAATTAACTCTTGATTAGCGGGCGGTATAAATTGATCAGCCGTGGAAAATCATACTGGATCGCCATGATGATTTATCAAGCCTGCGTCGAGGCGGCAGGTCAAAGTCAGGGACAGGTTTCGAAAGATGACGGAGGATACAATTCTGGCTTTGAGGTGGACACGGAAGCAATTCAGGCGGGTTGGCGACGAGCTGGGTAGAGGTCCAATGATGAAGTGGCCCAGCCTCCAGCCAATCCACCAAGGCCCAGACCCTCCAGTACTGATTGCCTGAACCGACAAGTCAGGCAACGAGACATGTATCTCAGTGGCTGCAGGTACAAAACTGAGTTAAGCTTCTAGAATAAACAATTTAATAGAATTCTAATATTTGGACTATTCCCAAGTCGCTGACTGATAGGTAATTTCTATGTAAAAAATATTTACCGTATCCTGCCAAAGAGCTTTAATCTCGATGCGAAAGATACCAAGGGACATATCCAGTCTGATGAGATAGGCCATCTCTGGGCGGTATCATTAAGCACGCGACTGCGCTATTGTTGATGTCAGAATTACTGTAGTTTTACCTACCTAGGTTCAGTGTCTCGGGATAGCAAAACGGGTAGCTAAATGCAAAGCCAACCATCCACCCATATATGCACATGCTTGTTCAGTCACTTCTGACCTTCGCTTATAATATATGCTGCACTCTGACGGGTGCAAACATCAAATATCGGCCGTGATTTCAAATCGTTTTACCTTTAACAAATAGACATTACTAAGCTATCCGCTTTACCCCACGTATTCGATAGCACTGGCACGCCTTTGGATAGACCAATTTGGTCCGTCTGTAGCTTGACGGTCCTTCTCCGAATTTACGCCTCGAAGACCCCGACAGGAAAAATTTCCCTCTTATTTTAGTTCAAGTCTCGACTCGAACTATTTCTCACTTCTTTCTTCCAGTCTCATATTTTGAAAGCGACCTTCCATTGTTTTGTTATAAGGTTTTCAACATGACGAGACTTATTCTATCCACGGCGTAAGTTATAGCTGACTTCTGTGCGGGTTTATGCTTACAAAACCCCTCTTGGCAGCAATGTCATGTTGGCAGGCCCCTCCGTTATTCGCAAGCCCGGTAACGCCAGATCCAACCTTGAACTTGTCAATTCTCTGCGAGATAATATCGCTGAAGCCCAGCGCGACTATGCGATCGATGCCGAAGGAACAGACGGCTTCACGAACGGCAATGCGCTCAACGGCAACCACACGGCTGTAGACCTATGGACCGAGAAGCAGGACGATGCGCTCTATGTTCCTCGCATTAATTGGAATGCCGCAGGCCTACGAGAAGAACCCAGCCAATACGAGATCACTGTCAAGTTTTTTGTCCTCCCGGGCATGTCTGACAATGCTCGGGAGCAACACGTGAAGGAAGCTCTGGATTTGGTCCGGAGAGAACTCGGCATCACCACAATCGATTTACTGATTGTGTCCTTCCCCGGAATTTCATTCGAGGGTAGCTGCGAATGGGAGGCAGACAAGACCAATGCCCACCAAGGAAACCTTGAAGAGGAACTCGCAACTTGGAATGTATTCGAGAGTCTACACAAGCAGGGCCTCGTGAAGCGTCTGGCTGTAGCCGAATTTGGTAGTGAGAAACTCAGCGCCTTTATCAAGCGTACGACTGTCCGACCCGTTATTGACCAAATCAACCTACGCAACTGCTGCGATGTCCCACCTCCGCTGAAGAAGCTCGCGGAAGATGAAGGCGTTGAACTACACGTCCACAACGATTGTACTGATATCCTTCCTCATGGCACTCTACGAGAGCTCCTCAGCCACGGTCCAAAGGGTGCAGGCCTACTTGCCGACATAAACAGCAACGGCGCTGGCTTGACGGGAGAGCTTGCTCCTGAATGGGTCGTGCGATACACAGCTTTCGTACAGGATCGAGGCGTCATAGAGAACAAGGGGTATTTTGCAGGCGCAGAGCTGGTGAGATCATAGCTGAGCATTCCTGCAACGGTCGAAAACGAAGAAGATTAAACAGCGAGGTTTCTTGGTATGTTTGGATCTGGAACCGCATATGATGAAATGTGGTGGCATCATTCGTCCATTTGTTCTTTTTTTTTTTTTTTTTTTTTTTTTTTTTTTTTTTTTTTTTTTTTTTTGCAAAACAGCGAGCATCATATACACGGAGTTTAGACACTATGGTAGGGAAATTGGCTGCAAGACGGCTTTTCTGTTTTTTGTTTCATCCGAGCATGCTTCGTTTGCGGCCTCTCATCCGCACGTCTTCCAACTTTTTAAGTACAACCTTGGCCTGTTTAAAGGTTTGGCCGTAAGCATCAAGCACCTCTGAGAAGACACATTCCGCCCGAGGATGTGTACTGCCAAAAGCCCTTTCCAAAACATAGAGATCTACCGCACGGTCCTCATCTGATATACTTCCACTTGCAAGACCCAGGTCAATGATAACTAACTCTCCGTGTAAAGGATTGGCGTCTTGCGGGCTAGCCAGAGGCTCCAACATCATGTTGCTTGTAGTCAAGTCGCCGTGAACAATGCCAACTTTGTGCATACTACCAATAGCGGTGCCGATTCTGCGCATGAGATCCTTCAACTCTGTATCGTTCTCGATGCCCTCCGTCCTGTTTCCCAGTCTCTCGTTGATGTTCTTACGGACAGGTCCTCCAGATATCCATTCCAGCATCAGCCAGCCGGCAGCTTCATCTACAGCGTAGACCGCTGGGACGCGGACACCATCGCGGCGGCACTTTGCAAGAATGCGAGCCTCTGAGAGAATGCGGTGTTTCGTAAGGCGCTGGTCAAGAACTGGGTGTCGCCAGGGCTTAGGAGGTCGATACTTTAGAGCGCAGGGAATATCCGGCAACAGATAAGTGCTTTTGTAGAGACGACCCTCGGCACCTTGTGTGATGAGGATTGGCGGGGTTGACGCGGGGTACTCGAGGATTTTAGGGAGGGGAAACTGGTGCGCTTGCGCCGCGGGGTCGACGGTCGCCGTAGCCGTGGCTGTCGTCATGAGAGAAGTATCGACTTGATTATTGTTGAGAGAGGGAGAGAGGGGTTGATGCTGGCAAGGGGGAAATGTTTAGACGATGGCAGTGGAGCCTGCGAGATCTGATGATTCTGACAAGCTGCAAGACTGGTGCAGGTACAGGGAGGGATGGTATTGATGAAGTCAGTGGAATGCGAGGAGGGGAACAGAATTGGCACCACTCACGCCCTTCCTTCAACGGCCCGCGAGGTTTTGACTGGGCGCCAACTGACTGCGGCGTTTTTAACCTGCCTGCAGCACTTCTACAGGGCTTTAGTATCTAAACGAATCAAGTTTATTCCATGGAAGAAATCCTTGCCCGGCTTTCCACGCCAGCCGACTTCCTTTCTCTTTACTCCTCCATTTCTGTCGAGCTGCAAGGTTAAATTACACAGGTTATTTCAAAGTAATGCAGTCTGTTTCCCAACCTTGTTCTCAACAAAACCAATGTCTAAGACTCCCTTTCCAGCCCTAGAACCGACCCACTGGCAGTTCTGGTAACCCTAATTCCAGACCTTGAACCCATGCATCGACGGGCTTTGTAGCCCTGGGCTGGCACTAGTGATGGCGTCCTGCAAGAATTGGTCACATCCAACCGATGGATGGCGATACTCAACCTGCAGATAAACCCACTTGGAATTCCATGTGGAAATCCACTGCATAGCAGTACAGCATTAGTTCTTGGGAGACTACCAATCTTGAGCAGGCTTGTGGTGCATCCTCTTAAACTATGACAGCAACGACTCGTGATGGCTACCTATCTACTACATACGTAGGTGTAGGCGCCTACAAGACAGATATGTAGGTCTGTTTTTATTGTTTGACACGGGTGATGCATTTCTTGCAAACCACCATCATCAGTCAGCATCATCAGATAATTCAACCATCTTGGCCATTTCCTCCACCCGGCACTTCCGCGCTCATAGTCTATCTTACGGCGAATCCGCCGCTTACCCGATCTAAGGGACCATGCACAGTATCAGTCAGACAATTGTAACGCCGTCAAATCGTGCGTACCGACTGACCATGTGATGACTCTTCTGCCCTGTCTTGTCTCATGGACCGTCATTAGTTACGGTTCATCTGCAGCTGCAGGGGGCTTCTTTTATCCCCAGCCATCTGCATCAGGTGGCCTAGCACCATCACTTGTTGAGCACGAATCTGGAAGCCGGGCTTGTATGAGTCTAGAAACTAGGTGCTTAATTGGAGCGCACACAAACGCGGGTTGTGTTTGCAGTAATTGGCTGTTGTTTGCGCTTGCGCCTGTTCCCTCGTCATCGCTCCCGTCACCTTGCTTGCATCTTGTGCGCCTCTCTCTCCCCATCTCTCCCTTTTCCCTCTCACAAACACTTAGCCCCAAGGACCATGCGTGATAGCTTCACCCACCACCTTGACTTGCCATCTAGACGCTCTGCTCAACCATGGCCGAGTTCAATCTGCTCCAGTGGACCATTATCCTCATTCTGATCGCCGTTGTCCTGTCCCTCATTGTCCTTGTCCAGATCATCTCCAATTTTACGGCTGCATACCAAGCGGCGCCGCTCGAGATCGCAACCTTCGTTGATACAGCCAACTTTTCTGTCCAGGAGAACGAGAGCTATGATCGCGATGTAGCAAAAGTGCAGCGTCTTGATGACAAGATTCGCTTGACGCGCCTTCTAAGGGAGATCCAGAAGACGGGCGATGATTTGCGTGAGGACATCAATGGCATGGTGCTCGAGGAAGATACCACCAAGTTGAAGACTGGCGCCAGACTACTATGGGCATCGAAACGAGCGAGGCTGGAGGATCGTGTTCGTAGGCTTGACATGCTGCGCATGCGCTTTCTTGTTGTTTATATGGGCGTTGTCGCATCACATACGAACACCACAAATACCACAATACATGAGAAGCCCTCTTCAAGAGCGCCACCACCACCGCCCCTTCCTACATTACGAGATTTAGAAAAGTCACCTGTTTTCAAGACTCCTACACGGCCTGCTCTTCCCAGAGGCTTGTCGGAGAGTATCGTCAATCGTCCTCCATTGCGCA